GCTCGGTGGAGAGAGGGGGGTCCGCCCCCAAGGCATTGGGGAGGGAAGCGTGGCTTGAGCCGGGAGAAGGAGGAGGAGAAGGTGGGTGGAAACGCCTCAGAGACACCTCCCTGTTAGCAGGAGGAGGTAAAGCATCGTCAGACTTCCAGGATTCAGCTTTTTATTATTTATCCTATTTATACAGCCGCCCATCTCACACAAAGTGACTCTGGGCGGCATACCACGGTCACTAGAGCCCAGAAATAACAAGGCTAATGAAAGTCGTTTAACGTGGAGGCGATTTATCGGTCGGGTCTACCTCGTGAGGCAGGGGAATTCTGGGGGTGGAAGGCCACAGGTGTTAAAGCATTCTGGGAGGGGAAGGCCACAAAGCATGCTGGCTGGGTGTCAGCCCTTCAAGGTAGTCCAGACAAGAAGCACCAACCACGAGTATTAACACTACCTTTGTGGTAAAGTTACAGAAACAGAACGTTGCACGTCTGAAAGTATTTCTCCCTTCCTCTCCTTTTACCCTCATGGAAACTAGGGAGGGTCCCTTTGGAGATGCTTCCCACACCCCTTTTCCTTCGGGGGCTGAGATACCTTTTGCATGGCAGTGATTAGGCTGTAGCTCTTCCTCCTGCCTCCCAAGGACATTCTCACAGGCCATTCGGCTACAGAATTCTGGAAGTTGAAATCCACACATGTTAAAGCTGGGAGTTGAAGTCCACCCATCTTAAAGTTGCTGAGATTGAGAAACACTGGTCCAGAAGACAACTGCAATTGACCACACAGCAGTTGGGACCTATGTGGTGCTTAGCTTGCCATGTTTATACCCGTTGTTCATTTACAGCAGCCCCACTGCCTTTTCTCCCTTGCAGACATCGGATGCTGTCCACGGTTTTGTCTCAGGTCCAGAAAATCCACACTGCAGGGCAGTACCTCAAATCCAGAACAGGGGCAGAGCATCGCTGGCTGGAGAGGCATTTGCAGGATCCATTTGTGAAGAAAGCCAAAGAGAGGAACTATCGATGCCGAAGCGCCTTCAAATTGCTGGAAATTGATGACAAGCATAGCCTCTTTCGCCCTGGGTTGCACGTAATTGACTGTGGCACGGCCCCCGGAGCCTGGGCTCAGGTTGCGGTTGAAAGAGTCAACGCCGCAGGATCTGGTGAGTGCACATAAAAGGCTGCTGAGACTGGTTTGCAGTCTGTCACTGTTCTAACCCATAGGGCGGTTTGGTTAGTTTTGGATCAGCGTGTTGCACGAACCCTCTCTAGTTTTAGTTTTTGCCTCACTGCTTCCGATGGATTATCCTTCACCGCATAGGAATAGTAATAAAACTAATAATAAAAAATAGTAATCTTTTTCAGTAATGTTTTGTTTACATTTTTATGTTTTATATATTTATATATATATTTATGGTTTTAATGTT